TCCTCCTTAAAACCACATGCAAGGCATTTGCAGTAGGAAACAGGAGATAGTAAGGCCACAATTCTAACCGTAAGTACCTAGTTCATGAGAAAATTCAAATTAATTTCTCAAGAATCATGACCACGAGAAAGGACGTCAAAAGGCTAAGACCGTATCAAATATTGAAGGAGATTATTAAGCAAGAAATGAACACAGTGATGGGAAATTTAATTTTCAGTAACTTATCTGAGGAAGTATACTCATAATAATATATTCATGAATTGCAAGTATAATATCATCCTTCTAAAGGTATCATAGTACATGCAGATAAATACAATAGACAGCAAAAAAATATATAAAAAAGGCTTAAAAGGAGAAATTAACAAAGAAACACAAACTTGAAGTGTCAATCACTTGCCTAGACATATAACAGGAGTTTTCGTATCCTTAAAACCACGGAAAATGCCTTGAAGAGCCAAAGAAAGTACAACTGCAGGAGCACCAACAGCTCTTAAAGAGAGAAAGTGCCGTGCAGGAGCATAAGTTGGATTTTGCTGTTGAAAATAATTAATTCAAAAAGGAGATTACAACTCACATGATTTGACAAAATAGAAGAGTGATGTTAAATAGACTTGTAATCAGCACAACAAAAAGTATCCGACGTTTAACAGGGGTACTGTAATTACATGCATAAAGTGGAGTGTTAATGATAAGCTGGAGTGTGTGTTGAGGTGAAAACATACCGTTGATACACCGATTAAATTTAGAAATGCTCCAGATCCCAGGGACAAAGCCAAAGCCTCAAAAATGCCAAGGCCGAGTGCTAAAAGCAAAGCAGTGGAGACAGAGGATAGCTGTTTTCTCTGGGGAACTGCTTTGAAAGGTTTACCATTGCCAGTATTTTCTGTAGCACCCTGATCTGTTGTGCAAAGTCACGGCATTAAACAATGATGTGCAAGAATGCAATGAGAAAATCGAATGAAAATGTTGGAGAGGTAAAAAAGAATCAACCTGAATCAGAATGCTGAGTAGAGGCAGCCTTGGCCATGTCCTCGGCAACAAAGGAAGTGGCAACGCTGAGAAGAGGAATGTTAAAAAGCTTAGAAATGATGTTAAAGATGGATACGGAAACGCCCGCAGAAGCCAATTCGACAGTGCCTGCGAAAGCAATGATAGATAAGACAGAAGGGGATGAAAAAAAAAAAGTAGTGGGATAGAAATTGGGAGGGAAATGTTCCAACCGAGTCGACCAATGTAGGCGGTTTCCATCAACTGCGACAAGGGGTCAATCGCCTGACCGGCAAGGGCAGGCAGAGACAACAATAGAAGCTCTCGTTTGACATCCACATCCGGGAGTTTTCCATTTTGATCGAGCGGCAACTTACTGCGAAGGAATTGAAGATGTAATTGTGATGATTGTTGTTGAAGGAGGCGCACAAATTCATAGGAAAAGAAGAGTGAACTTACACGGAGGGGTTGGGGTGGAGCTGATGATCCTCGTCGGCGTTTTGCTGGTGTTGTTGTTCGGAGGTGAGTGAAGAGTGTTTGGCGCGAAGGGTTATGAGAGGCGATGAGAGGCTTTGCGCTTGGCGCAGAAAGCGAGGGCAATAACCGTAACAGATATGGTTGCGGTTGAATACGAAGGGTCTTCTTCTGGTAGAGCCATGGTGTTGAGAGACAAAAGAAGAGGAAGTGAAATGGGTGGCTTCCATGGCCGTCGCCGCCGGTAACTGCAACTACCTCAAAACAAGAAAAACTTCAGTTCAACACAACTCAATTAATTAATAAATAATAATTATAAAATATATAAAACTCCATGAAAACCTGCAACGCAACCCACAGAATGTATCGGAAACGCCGCCAGTTAACCTCTCTCTCTCTATCTCACCGCTGCAGTCTGCGGATAGCCTTTCCACTACACAACAGTCACATACTCACATTCTCTCTGTGCACTTGTTTCTAGATTCCTCACAAACATTTTATACATTTTCACAGGTACACGCCAATTCCCAACAATTTATGTTCCAATCATCCCCTTTTTTCTTTGTTTCCGCAATTCGCGAATTTTAGTTACTATATTAAGTCTAGACTTACTTTTTCCCAATTTTCTAAAATTAAGCAAATTTAGTTTACTAATAATATATTATTAAAATATCAGTGATTTGTTTATATATATATATATATATATATATATATACGTGTGTGTGTGTGTGTGGTGTAAGCACTTAGTTAATGTGTTTATTAAGACCAATTTAGGAAGTTTGTGAAACTCTAAAAGTTTTAATAAAAAAAATAAAAATACGGTTAAATATTTTAAATAAAAGATGGGATGGTTTATTAGATATAATTTTAAAAATGTATTTTATTTTAAAAGATGCTTTAAGAAATAAAATTTGATGAATTCAATTAGAAAAAAATATTATTAGATATTATTATATGATCATTAATATTATTGAATATTATTATATGATTACAAGATAAAAAAAATATCTTAAGATTTAGATATAACTTGATATTATGGTTAGATATAATAATAGTAAAATATAGTATATTATTTTAGAAATATAAGGTTTAATGAGGAATTTTAAAGGTTGAGTTTTTACGAGAAAGAATAAAAAATTGAAGAGTAAGAAGTAAAAGGAGTTAATTATTATAGTTTTTTTTCTGGTTGGAGCCGGTGTTGTAAGAAGAGTTAATTTTGTTTATTTTCATGCATAAGATGATAATTTGCTATGGTTGTATGTTTAATTATGCATATGATGATTTGTTTTATGTTAAGTGTCATTGTCAGTGCATGGTTTAACTCGAGAGATTGTATCAAGTTTTGAATAAAAAAGTATAATAGAATAGGGTTAAAATCATAATACATGTGATATAGAAAACTATGGGTACTTTTTGTTGTTTTTTTTTTTTTTTGAGCTATCTCATTAAAATTATAATTCTCGCTTTCTTAACCACTCTATCATCTAAAATTTTGACATATGTTTCTTGACATATAGTTTTTCACTTTCACTATTAGAATCTATGATTGAATATGTGGTATTGACACCATTATTAATTTGAGGTATTTACGTGCTAGTAATGCCCACGTATACGGTAAGAAAACAAGCAGAAGGATAAGAACAGTTTTAATTTTCCCGAATCTCTGAATTTTGTAATTTAGGTTGGTTGATTAGTTACAGTGAGTGAGGCATCTAACAAACTTGGAATGCACGAAATCAAAATTCAAATTGTGATTTCTGATTTGGTGAGAGAGTGAAATTTGATTAGTTGGGATTTATAAGTGAGAGAAATCAGCACCTTTGCCTTGTTTTCTGTTCGAAGGTCCTCTTCTCCACTCTAACTTCTTCTTTCTGTTATTCTTTCTGTTCTTCTTAGAAAACAGAACAAAATGGAAAACGGGAGAAACGGCGTCGTTCCAGCGAACGCTCTTCTTCTTCCTCCTCCGGCCAACAAATACCGGCAACGCGTTGAGTTGGTGAATTTGGGTGTAATGGAAAGGAAAAAGCATCTCACCACGCGCACAGGCAAATCCAGAATAGTCGGACTCCTCATTGCGAGTGTTCTTCGACGCCGCATCCTCCACCGCACTCTCATCTCCGCCATCTCCGCTTCCCTTCTTCTCATCTTCGCCCTGTTCTCTCTCTTCATTCCCTCCCCGGTAAGTGCAAAACCGTTTCATTCCTTTCCGTTTTATATCACTGCTCTCTCCTTTCCTTCTTTCTCTAAATTGAAATCAATCATCCTTTCTTTGTTGCGCTCCGTGGTGGATTGCCTTAGACTCCGCCTCACACTCACAATAATGCCCGAGTTAGATCACTCTTGGAGACACATCAGGATTCCGTGTTTGGTGTTCCGGTAAGCTATATATGAAACGTAAACTCCATTTTTCGTTTTCATTTTACTCTGATTTTATTTATTTATTTATTTTGTGTTGTTTTGGATTTGTAAGACGAATGGAGGAAGTTGCAAAAATGATTTATGGAGTTCGAGGCGGTCACGCCTTTTCTCTGGTTGCAGTATCGCTGGTGACAATTTCGCAAGTAAAGCCGATCCCGGGAAAACCAATTTATGAATTTAATTTTGGACTTCAAGTTAATCAAAACTGCTGTCCAGTGTTCATTCGTGTTTTAATGGACATGCAATTTGACTGCGAAAATACTTATTTCTTGTGCTTGCAGAGGCTAATGTCAAAACTCATCCAGATCGATATTTGTTAATTGCCACCAGTGGAGGTTTAAATCAACAGAGAACAGGGGTAGGCTCCTTCACCAACTAACAACTAGAGTACAGTATTGTATGTGGGAATGACTTTTAATATCACCTCGTATGTACTTCTTTTAGTCTAATAAAAATTCAAGGAGGAAAACGTATTTGATTCACTTCTTTCTGCATGCAACCAACAGTATTGCATGACCATGAATGGTTTGATATACGGGTTTTGTCTGGGCTACCCAGTTTGACGAGTGATTTAAGGATATGCTGAGTCGAGCCACTTGATGAGGTTCAAATGCTGCGTGTTGCTGCAGATAATCGATGCTGTCGTGGCTGCATATCTTTTGAATGCTACACTTGTCGTTCCAGAGTTGGATCATGCTTCTTTCTGGAAAGACACCAGGTCTGTCTTTGTGTTGCACTTGCACTGCTATCACTCATCTCTTCATCGTATGTGGTAGTATTTTTAATATGCAAGCAAAGTTAATCGTCTTTCACCTCTGAATTTGCAATGGACTAAGTACTATTTTTGCAGCAACTTTTCTGAACTGTTTGATACAGACTGGTTTATAACATTTCTGCTGAATGACGTGAGCGTTGTAAAACACCTTCCGAGTTCGGAAGGGAAATTCGAGGCTCCATATACGATGCGTGTTCCAAGGAAATGCAGCCCCAAGTGCTACGAGGATCGGGTTTTACCCATGCTGGTCAAGAAGCGAGTAAGTCTTATCTTAGCATCTTCAGTTACAGCAGTAGATCTTCATTAAAATTATTTTCACACCTTTCTCCAATTAAAATCTGGCATTTAAGTATTACTCTTATCAGATAACCAGTCTTTATCCAATACTTTTTCCCTAGAGTTGTCAAAGTATAATTTTAAATTATTGGATTTGTGGTTCCAACATCTCTCATCCACCATTTTTGTATTGTGATCGTTTTTCCTCCCCTGTTTTGAGCCTAACTAACTAGTCATGTAATGTTGGAAGGATGTTGTATGCTCTTTTGTTTTTGTTCTATAGGTTATTTATATGCTTGGTCTCGTTAAATTTATAACTTCATATACGCATTCAATAGTATAATTTTTTCAAATTGCTAGTTTTGGGAACTTTTTCTTTTAAAACTTCATTCACGTTAAATTGCCTTTTCTGAAAAATAAAAATCATAGAGATGAAAATAAATATATTTTTAAATAGTTTCCTCTATACGCGGACTGTTTCGATAAATGTTCCGTGGCTTTTACCATGCAACAAAAGTAGTAAATTATATACTAAAGGGGACATTGGACAGATTAGTTTTAAATTCATACAAAAACATACGAATTAAAAAAAATCAAGAGGAAATATTTTATTACAAATATAAAAATGATATTAATTTTCACTAAATAAAATAATATTATAAAAGCATGCATAGTTTATTAAAAATTATAGTTCAACTTTAAAAGAATAAATATTGAGAATGATATATTACTTTTGAAGATAGAGTGTACTGAAAGGTTTCTAAGGGAGATTTTTATGATGGAATATATACATGTAATTACTTGAAAATACATATGACATTTGACAAAGATAATGAGAGTATAATTGTAAACGGAATATTTGATTATACATACAAATAAGGAATAAGAAAATAAATGAAGAATTGACAGAGCATTGATTATTCAAATTGAAAATTTCCAACATTTGATTTCATAGAAGTCATATGCGTAACGAATAAACAAATGCAAAGTTTATTCTAATAATGTATTTCTATTGTCTTTAAATTATATTTAATGCAATATTTTATTTTGAGATCTTATATTACTTTTTTTTTATTGGTTCTATGTAATATTATATCCTACCTTGAAATGTTAAGTAAATTTTTGTTCGTCTCATAATTTATTTTTTATTTAATTTTTGCTGGTACGAGGGTGTAAAAAAATAAGTTTTTTGAGATACTGATAGAGTTTTTTTTTTATGATTTCTTTCTCTATGATACAGATCTCCAATGTTTCTTTAGCGGAAGATCTTATAAAAATGAGATATTGTATTTAAGATCTCAAGTAAAGATCTTACACTAATGATGTTTGCATTATTTAAAAAATAATCCTAATTTTCTTATAGGAATTAGTTAAGATAATCTCTAATCTAACGTGTTTAATTATTTTTAATATAAGAAGTTGAGCCATTATTATGATTATTATTATATATAATAAGGACATAAAAAATTAACTTAGGGTATTTTGTAATTTTATTTATTTATTACATATTAAAATTCATGAATGTACTGTTCGAGTAAAATATCAAACAACTATAATTTGAAAGTCTTACTTTTTACTTTCAATTTTAATATAATATATATATATATATATATATATTCAAAGGTTAAGGTCAAAGGTTAACTGGAAATGTTAAGTCTTTCGTGAGATTAAAAGGTTTTCCTAGACTCGGTGATGGTTCTCTCTTTCTAAAAATTTATATAAGAAATGCATAAATAAATAACTCCCGAAAAGATTATGTACTATTTATTCATGGGTTAAATATGTTTTTAGTTTCTAAACTATTGGCCGTTTTTGGTTTTTGAGGACTAAAACGAACTTTTCGAAAAGAATGAGGACCAAATTGTACCTTACTTTGAAAGAGGGACGAAAACAAAAAACGACCAATAGTTTAGGGACTAAAAACATATTTAACCCTTTATTCATTATTTCCCATGAAATGCATAAATAAATCATCTTAATTAGTGACTGGTGTTTTTTTCAAGAAGAATTAGTGAAAAGTGTTTGGGATTTTTTTTAATTCTTTTTTCAAAGCTATCACTATGGCAATTACTAATTTTCAAATAATGTAATGCGCACGCTATGGTGTTGTCCTTGATTCCATGAATGACATTTAAATTGTGGATACACGCAGGCTGTTCGGCTAACTAAGTTTGACTATAGACTTGCTAATAGGTTGGATGAAGATCTACAAAAGCTTAGGTGCAGGGTTAATTATCATGCTCTCAAATTTACGGATTCCATTCAGGGGATGGGTCATTTGTTGTTTGAGCGGATGAAAATGAAAAGCAAGCATTTCATTGCTCTACATTTGAGGTAAATTTTATTAATGTTAGCCGAGCTTTCTTCCCGGTTTCTTTCCTGTACATTTAGTCCCTGAAATGAAATGTGCAGCATGGAACCCATATCGGTGTCAGAATTTGTGATCACATATTCTTGTAAAAATTAACTCACATTTTGTACTTGAGACGTCCGCCAATATTAATTTTTCTTATCACAGTTCAATGTCATAAACTTTGATTTAAACTTTTGTTTCGTTACAGGTTTGAACCAGATATGCTTGCATTCTCTGGTTGCTATTATGGCGGGGGAGAAAAAGAAAAAAAAGAACTTGGTGAAATTAGGAAACGGTGGAAAAATTTACACGTAAGGTTTTAGTAGCATCTAATCAATCAGCTCCACATCTTTTAGCATGCATATATGAAAATTGACATATTTGGGAATGAACAATAGGCAAACAATCCTGACAAAGTTCGACGACACGGAAGATGTCCACTCACCCCAGAGGAAGTTGGTCTTATGCTAAGAGCACTTGGTTTTGGAAGTGACATTCACTTGTACGTGGCATCTGGCGAAATATATGGAGGTGATAAAACGTTAGCTCCCCTCAAGGCTCTTTTTCCGAACTTCCATTCAAAGAAGACCATAGCTACCAAAGAGGAGTTGGCACAATTTGTGTCATTTTCTTCTCGCATGGCTGCACTAGACTTCATAGTTTGTGACGACAGTGACGTTTTTGTTTCAAACAACAACGGTAACATGGCCAAAATTTTAGCTGGAAGAAGGTAAGTTACTTGTCTAGTGGTTAAATTTTTTTGTAACACTAGCTATACCTGGAAGTTGGAAAATTACTTGGTTCGTACAAAGAAGCATTTTAATTTTGAAAAAATTGAACTGCAACCTTAATTTAACAATCATCTCAGCAACTATCTTCCATTTGTGTATGGCCTGAAGTATCTCGGGATTGAAAAGCAACAGCAATTGACCATCCAAAGCAACTATGATATTTCATTATTTCTTGATGCTGATAAAGTAAGTTTTTCACCTACGCAGACTCATTTTCTCTGTTGCAGGAGATACTTTTGTCATAAACCCACCATCCGCCCAAATACAAAGAAGTTGAACAAATTATTCATGAAGAAAAATAATATGACCTGGGAGGAATTTGCCTCTCGAGTTCGAACTTTCCAGATAGGCTTTATGGGAGAACCAAATGAGTTGAGACCTGGCAGTGGTGAGTTTCATGAGAATCCATCATCTTGCATATGTCAAAACTCATCGTCTGAGTCACTTGATAACTACGAAAGCAGTACAAGAAAAAACTGGGCCGAAGAGCAGTTTTCAGAGGAAGAGCTGGATTGGTCCGGGGGACATTGTTTGCATTGTAAGAAACAGAATAGGGTGAAAGGAATTAAACTTGATTCAATTCCTCTTTTAGTGAGCACGGGCCAAGCTGAATTGCAAGAATTCTTCTCTGATTAGTCAAAGATTAAATTCCATCTCTAACTCTGTTTTGCAGCAACTTGTCCCTGATTTTCCAGTGACTGTGGTATGCTTCCACACATAACTTGAGACATTTTTGCATGGAAGGTATTGGAAAATTAATGTTTAGTACATATTCGGGTTTTATACGAGCCGCTTCAAAAATGTAAACTGTAGCTATAGTATAGACTATTTTAGAGTTTGAAGCTTCTAACTGAAACTCACGAAGGAGTTGATAAGGCAATCTTTTGTTTTGTTGTACATTGTCCCTACTTGATGTTATGTCAATGATAAAACAATAAATCATAAAAGAATAAGTACATTTCTCTGGAAAAGAATGTTAGTGATATAGATGTAAAACAAATCATGAGAGTAATGTATGAAATACACCATCTTAGATTATAAAAAAGGGAACAAATTTGGTAAGGCGTATAAAATGCAAAAAAAACATCAATTTATAGAATTATTTATTTTTTCGCCGAATGATATAAAAAGATGAAAATAAAATAAACGGAGAGAAGGTAAATAAAAAATGTTTGAAATGTTAAAAGACAATGGAAATAAAATGCATATTAACTCAGCAAAACAATAAAATCGTTTAGTTTTTATAAAGAAAAATCATTTTTATAAAAATATAAAATAATTTAATAATTTGGTTAAAATAATTAATTCAAAATAAGGAAAGTGGAATGCTTCTCATAAAGTTTTGATGAATTTCGATAATATGGGAGTGAACTAAAACGTTTATTTAAAAACTTTCATGTTGGTTAATAATTAAGATAGTGTTTGGAGTAAGAAGTAAATATAAGAAAAGTTGTTTGAATAGATAAACAGAAGATTGTGGTGATACTTAAATTAAATAATTTAAAAAATTGATGAAAGAATTTGAAAGAAAAATTTATTAGAATTTGTGAATGTTGTGATGAGTGTGATAGATTGAAAAAAACGTTTTAAGTGATAAAATTATATTATTATCCATTTATTTTTGTTTTGAAATAAATTTAAATTTAAGTAGTAAAAATTATATTAAAATGAAATTGAAATTGTTAATGATAAAAAAAATTAAAATTTCAAAAATAAAAGGAAAATTATAAAAGGGATTTGTATTAATAAATTTCAAATAAATTTTCTTAAATAATAATTTCCATATTATTATTTAAATTATTGTTAATAAAAAGTATATTAAATTTGAGACATTAAATACAAATTATTCACATTCATAATAAATTGAAATAAATTTTTAACACAATGTAAGATTAATTAAATACAAACCCAATAAATAGAACTTGAAATTATAAAATGTTATTTAATGCATTGTATCAATTTAATTAACAATGACTTTGAAGTTTGTGTAGAATACTTTAGTGAGTTCCATGTAGTAAGTGGGACTATGTGCACAACATTTTTTAAACCTTGACAATAGGAGTTGTATGAAGTCCAACTTTGATTCTTCGAAGAACTACAAAACCATGATTTTAGGTGACAATACATGTCATAGAAATAAATGGGCATTATATTCTTTCATTTGGGCTGAAGATAACTCATTTGTTGTAATCGGTTTACATAGTTTGTTTAGTGACATCATCAAGTGGATTTGCAGTTGAATAACCATATAATATTACATATAATTAGTTACAGCATAAACTAAGTTGAATAACCACCACCATTTATCATCATCTTATACAACTTTTTCCAACGATACAAGGGGGCATTCCTATGAATCTTTTAACAAGGAATGAGTTTACATGTAGGAAGTTGTAGCATTTTTTCATCACCTGATCATATGATATGTTCATTGTTGCTAACATTTCTCATGTGTCACTTTTTGTATATTTAAATGTGAAAGTACAACAAAGAATGTCATTCCTTTGTTTTGACCGTCACCCATCGTTCAACACACATAGGAAGTTTCTCAAAGTGAACATTTATTCTACCAAGGTGTTCCATGAATCCATTCATTCATGTTGTGAGCGATGCAAATTGAAAGTCAACAATATCAACCATTGGAGGTTTTCTTGTAGACTTGCAAGATGATGAGGTTGTAGCAGATGGTGCAAAAGGTGCAGATAGCGTTGATGGTGTCAGTCCAAGGCTGAAGGAATCCATGTGAGAAGGTGATGGTAGTGTTGGTTGTGGCACTTGATGAAGTTCAATTAAGATAGAGATGTAATCCATATGATCATTCAAATCCACACTAATCACATTTCACTGACCTATGGATAACTCTTAAAAAATGTTATCCATAAAATTAATTATATAAATGACAATGAAAACACTAGTATATCATAACAAATCTTTTTATAATATGCGTAAAAAAACATCTTCTATAAATCAACACATGCAAATCAATGAAACAAATATGTCACTTAATCACAACCTTTTACATATAAAAAATAATAGATTTACACAAACAAACATAGCTTACGTAACAAAATATGATTTTTAATTAAAATAAAAAGTTTCAACAGTGGGTTTTTAAAAAAAGAAGAGAAAGCAGAGCAGCTTTTTTAAATTAAACGAGTCAGCATTTGATTAATTCTTAATCAGATTGGATTGAAGGTGAGATTAAGAGACAAAAACAAAACAAAATGAAGCATCACATGTGCTGTGCACGTGATTCCTCAAAAGTTAACCTGCACTCTCTTGCCTCTCTGTCCCCCAATTATAGACTATATTCAACTCACTCTCTTCTGGGTCTGGGTTTTGATTATGGGCCTATGCCCAATCACAATCTAATCGAGTATTCTCAGCAAACCTATATAATTACTATCATTGTATCTATTTTCTCTTCATTTCTCTCTTACTCCTACCAACCAAAAACTGAAAAAAGAAATGAAATGAAAAACGCCATGATCATATATAATAATTTGATTCAGCTCTTAACTCCAATAATTTGGCCGACGCTTTCCCCAGGTAATGCTGTGTCTGCTTTTTGCCATGCTATACTGTAACATACTACTTCATTCGCATGTTTTTAAACAGTCTTTCAAGATTTCAATTCAACACTGACAGATGAATTGAAAAAAATTGACGCATTTCTTATAGCAGAAAAGTGCGGGGAGAATCGTATGAACTGACAGATGCCGCAAGAATCAGTAGTCAGATGCAGGAATAAATAAATAGGTTTTGCGAAGGAAGAGGTGAAAAGGCAAATCAGAAAGATGCGTGTGCGATGGTGACCCACTCATTCACTGGTATTGATTGAGAAGAGAAGCATAGGAAAAATGTGCGTATGATTTGCAATTAATTTGGAAGGTGGAAGTGGAAGGATGCATCTGATCCAACTTTGGCACATTCCTATAACAACAGCATTATCATTAAGATGAGGTGAGTGGAAAGAAAAGAACATCTTCTCTCTCATCTCTCATTTCTTATTACTTTAAACCCTAAAAAGGCTGCATTGCATATTCTCCCTCTCTTTTTTCACTTTTTTTTTTCTTTCGACAGAATATGGTCCTCAAGAAAATAGTGCGCTCCTGCATATAATAAGATTGCCATTAAATAACTTATCTGAGGATTTTTTATATTCTTATAGTTTTTCTCTTTGATGTGCTATTCATCTCTGAAGAAAAAAAATATTTTGTTATTCGTCCTTTTACCATCAATAAAAGATATTTTCATATTTTTTTTATACTTGCAAGTATTCGCAGATAAATGTGATTTTTTGAAACTAAATTATTTAAAATATAAATTCAGAAAAAAAATTCAAATTAAATTACGCTATATGAATATATTTGGTTTCTCTAAAAAATTTTTTAACGAGTATAAATTTTAAAACGTTAATAGTTTTAAAAATAATTTCAATTTTATATATCTGAATAGTATGTAAAATCAGATTTTAAATAATTGTTCTAGTATTTTTAAAAATGATTTCAGTTTCATAAATCTAAGTAAATATGTATAAATATATAAAATCAAAATCTGTTTTTTTTTGTAATTATTAATATTTTCTTACTAATTTTGCTTTTACCTGTTAATTTTATTTAAAAATATTTAAATAAAATTTAATTATAATGATAAATTAACAGCACATGTTCACAAAAGTTAAATATTATGATAATCATATCCGTTTCATAAGAAAACGGATGATTAAAACATTTACATGTATTATTCATAAATATTTATTAAAAAATTCATCTAATAATCGTAACATCCCATAAACTGGTAAAGTGATTAATTTTTCAAAAATTCATTTTTGTCTAAATTTCAATTAAAGATATATCGGTTATGAAGACTGATTTGAGTTACTTCCTTCTCTGCCACCCTTTAATTGTAAAATACATATTTAATCTTTTCTTTGATTTTTTTAACAACAATATATTGTTATTTTTGTCTTTCTTTTTGTGATTTAGTTAGCTGAAAAATACTGCAATATAAATTAGTTTCTAAAAGTCAACAAATATTAAATGAATTTATTACTACTAATCAATTTAATTGAACATCCTATCAAAAGTAAGGATGAAATCAATAGAACTAAGAGAGAATTTGTATGGAGTTGGGAATTAGAGATTTAGAAACTTTTAACATAGTTTTATTAAGAAAATGGAAGTGGCCATTGGAAAAAGAAAAGCATAGTTTTTGGTGTAGAGACTTAAAGGAAAACATGTGGAAGGGATAAAGAGAATATTGATTTGATAATAACGTTTATTAGTTTAGGGAAAGAGCAAATAAATCTTGTTTTGGGAAGACAAGTGTGTAAATGAGGTCTCTTTTTTATAAAAAAATTTCAAGTATGTAAGAAATGAGTTCTTACCAGTAAGTCTTGGAAATAGAAATTGGAACAGTGAAAAGAATGGTTTGAAGGAGAAAAATCACATATTTTAGGGAAGAAAAATATTATTTGATATATTAAGCTTTTTACATTTGACATTATTAATTTTTATTTTTTACTTTTTTTTTCTTAATAAAATACAAGATCTTATATTTATGTAACTATTTTTTCAGTTTATTCTACGTCAAATGAACGTAAAAGTGTTTCATGTGAGTATTATTCTTTAAAGAGTGAGTTAGATAAAAATACAATAAATATGAAAAAAAAAATTACACTGTGATATTAATGTATAATAAAATTAGAAAACAAATTAGGGCTGAAGATATGGATATGAATGATTTTGCTTGGAATGTATTGTTATTATAATATATATTAAAATAAAACTTATAAACAGAAAGTTACTATTAATGCTGTCACTTTTGTTGGGGAATATTAATGAAAAAATGAAAAAAGAAGAGGGGAGCGTGACAATTATGAGCCAAACAGGGATTTGGGTGGAAAAGGCGTTGAATCAACAACTCAATAATTATAAAACAAATGATTGGATTTGGGAATATTGATTATTAAGGATAGCATATCAAAAATACATTTATATTATGTTATATTTTGCATGTAAATTAAACAAAATCATGCATGTAAATTAAAATTTAGAAACGTGATTGTGAAACAAGGACTCTGTTTGGACCACCAACTTTCAAATCGCGTTACGTTACCACCCAACCGCAATCAATATATTGCTCCCACTTTCATTTTTCATTTCTCATTTTCAATATTTTCTATATCACAAATTTGCCTAAAATTATGAACAGCTGTCTCGTTTTTATTAAATATACTGATTACAAGGAGAAAATAAAATATAAAATAAGAGTAAACTACGTTATTGTTGTGATTAGAATGAACAGTTTTAAACTGTAACAATAATCCTTTAATGTAGTAAATGAAAAAAGTTTACGGTTACTTTTCTGTATGAAATATAATTTTTCATTCAATCAATTTCTTGATGAAAAATTAGTTGAAACAATAATAATAAACTATAAGATTGATGGAAAAAACATAATGTTATACCATGTTTCAAAATAAAATAAAAAATATTGTTATTTTCATGAAATATCTGTATTATTTTTTCACGAACATAAAATATCTGTCATCATATATTGGTCGTTGGGTTATAAGAACGAAACTTTGAAGGTAAGATATTTAAATTAGTAGTAAAAGACAGACTTTAATAATTATATCAATAAATTAAAAATATACATAAACTAAACATTTTTTATCCAAAGTAATAATGTATAGACTTTATTAAAACTCCAATTGTTATGGATATGCATTTATTCCAATGTTTTAGAATTTCTTGTTTGATATGTCCATCTTTTCAAAACTCTCATTATTAGTAAAAAGAAAAAAGTTACATTTATGTTTATCCAAACCTTACTCTTTTATAATAACATTACTCTAAAAGAATTTTTGTTAATATTAAGTGTATTGTGTAGTTACAAATCAATGATTAATTATTATTATTTAACGAGTTATTAGTGAAAACGATCATTCTAAAAATATATTAATTAATCATGAACCGATATGATTAATTTTAATTTTAATCAATTTAAGTAAAATATGATTCTACGCTCTGAAAGATTAAAAAAAATCTTTTGATAATGATTTTATAATTGTCGTTATTGAGATGATGTTATGTGTTTCAAGTTATCCTAATACACTAACAATGTATAAATACAAATTTATCGGCAGCACTTTCATTCATGTTTCTGTTCTACCTGCTTTATTTGTTTTTTCAAACTACTTGAGTGCATTTAATTTCATTTATATTTTTGGTGTTGTGAAGATAAATTATTGTTTACTTTCTTTTCATTTCTTTAATAAGTTATGTTATTATTATTGTGTTTTTTAAGATGAAAACTAAAAGTTCATGGTAAATAACTCAGATTTCACTGCTGTAAACAATTTATGTAATGATACAATTTTGTTTGGCAAGCGTACTAAAAATAATTTAGCATAGATATATTAGATAGTGTTTTTTTAAAAAAATTATAAATTAATCTTATGAGTTAACATACTTATTTTGTAGTAAAAATAATTCATCAACTAAAAGTTGTACATTTATCAAAATATAAAACTCTTTACTTAGACTTGAACTAACCTCAACGCAAATGAAATATCAACGAGATTAATTATACATCATTTCTCACAATCTCGACTATAAGTGAGTGAGTTTGATGGAGAGTGCTAAATGAGTAGGTTAATCATATATCCGTTTGGATGAATGTTTTTATAAATAAGCGAGTTTAATGGAAAGTATTAAATAAGTCGGTTAATCATATATCAGTCTGAATGAACTATTTTTATAAACGTTCTATAATTTAAAGCACATATCTCGTAATTTGGTGTGTAATTAGTCGAAATTGACTGGTCACTAAATAGGTTGGTTATACTAGTCTAGTCTATCACCAATTCGGTTAGTAAAATAACAAGTCTAGTCTACCACTAAATAGATTGTCATAGATTAGACAAATACGAATAAACTATCATAATATATTAATTTTAAATATGATCAACTTAAAAGTAAAATACAATTATTTACAATTGGATTATAATTAAACCAATATTAATCCAAATTCCCCACAAAACTTATAAACAAATATTTAAGGTAAAAAGATAAGTTATGTGCATTAATTGTTGTATTAATTACTATTTGTCAAGTGTTGAGCTAACTTTAACATTTAAACGTCTTCCACATATATATCTTTCTATTATTTTGAATATATTATAAATCACTTTTTGGACAACATTTGAACTTTGGATCAACAAAAATTTTTGATCTTGACCTAGACCCAAAATTACAATCTACATTTTTCACACACAACAAACAAATCTTAAATAGCCTTTAATACAAGTTAATAGCAATAGCAATAGGTGTCTTGTTTTTAAGTAACTAATGAGTGATCAAAATGAGTAGAGGAGGAACTTTTGGGTTTATTTTGTAGTGATTTTTGTCCCTTCCCTTTCCCACTTTTTGTTTTTCTCCTAAAGGAACTAATTTGGGAGTTGAGTGTAGTTTGGTGCAATATTAATCATCTCCTAAAATCTTTCTAGGACGGTTCACCAAGTCTACGGAACCCTGCTTCAGAATTATAAATTCCATTACAAAGAAACGTTGCTCCATTTTTTCCTTTTTAAAGTAACGCTAAAACTCGGTAGATCGATCGTGTGCGTATTTTTTTTTTTAATTTCAACAAATCAATAATAAAGTACGTAATTTGGTATTTGATCTTCAGTTACACACACATACGATGATAAATTATTATTTAATTTTTTAATTTTTAAATAATAATCAATGTTAAACAGAAGCAAGTAGTTGACTAGGAATTAAAACCTACAATGACAAAGATAATTTTTTATTACAAATTACTATTAAACTTTTTTAACCGACTTAAAAATAAAAGTATAATAAATTTTTTATTATAAGTTATTAAAAAAAAGAAATTTCAACAGGTCAACAAATTATAATATTTAACTCATCTCAGACTTTTTTTGAAAGACCAGATGACCCACACGCATTGATTCATTGGATGGTAATTACAAACAGAATGATTGAGCAGATTTGATTTTTCCTCTTCAAAATAAAAGGAGTCTGTGGATTTTACATAATAATGAAGGAAGGAATAAACAAATGATTTTAAATATTCTACTTTTTTATTATCAGTTCGAAAAGACACTCACTTTTTAGTTTTGTTTATTTTTTAAATAAATAGTTTAAAATTATGATTTTGAATTTGAGTAAAATTGTGTAAAATGGAAGAAAAGAAGAGGAAGGAGAAGATGGTAATTTGATGGGTAACTGTTGGTGTGATAAACATGAAAAAGGGGTATTTGTTTGGTAATTAGAAAAAAGCAGAAACAGGCGTTGTGGTCAAAGTCAAAGTATTTGATGTTTTTGGTTTTGATTTTCCTACTTAAGTGAAGAAGGGGAAGAGAAAAAGCATGGTGAATAGAGAGAAACTGAAAAGAGAGAAGAAATATGATAGAAAAGGACGAGAAAGTCCTTGCTGGCAAAAGATTCCCTTCATTCATTAACTCATTGTTTTGTTTTGGTGGGGCACTCACTACTACTGCTCTTCTTCCTCTTCCTATCTTCTACCTACGTTCCGCTCCGATTATACTTCCTTTATCTCCGATTACCAAACCCTAAAAGGAACCACCATGGGATGTGCCAGCTCCAAGCTGGACGATCTCCCGGCGGTGGCGCTCTGCCGGGAACGCTGTGTTTTTCTCGACGAAGCAATCCACCAGCGCTACGCACTCGCCGCGGCCCACATCGCTTACATAAACTCCCTCAAGGCAATTGGTCACTCCCTCCACTCCTTCGTCCACCACGACACCCAGAGGCCGGCGCCGCCGTCTCCTTCTTCCTCCCCCTCTCCCTCTCCCTCTCCTCCCCACAAAACCCACCAGCTTTCCAAGCACGCCTCTCCCGCCCACTCCGATTCCGCCGGCTCCCACCTCCACTTCCACTCCGACTCCGATGATCTCTCTCTCCACCATTCCCCCCAAGCCTCCCCCATTCGTCTCCCTGCTTTCTACAACAATTCCCAACCACCGGATCACCACCTTCACATCAATTACATGAAGAACAAGGCCGCCCCTTCAATTGTCTACGAGCAGAGGCCTCTCAGTCCCGAAACCGGCTACCTCGGAGAGTCTTCTTCCTCCTTTTACCCTTACGCCTCCTCCTCCTACCCCTCCTACCCCTCCTACCCCTACGCCTACGATCCATATTCTGCCCCTCCCTACCCCGGATCTTCCCAGCCCCAACCCCAACCCCAGCGCCACCCCAACTCCAAACCCCCTCCCCCTCCCCCCTCCCCTCCCAGGGCCTCCACCTGGGACTTCCTCAACTTCTTTGATAACACTTACGACACCCAAGCTCATTACACCGCCACTCCCAGCCGTGACTCCAGGGAGCTCCGGGAGGAGGAGGGCATCCCCGATTTGGAAGACGAGGATTACCACCACCACGAAGTCGTCAAGCAAGTTCACGGGGATCAGAAGCTCGTCGAACCTAAGCCCCAACCCCCCAACCCCCACCACAACCACCTCCACGAGGAGGAGGATGAAGAAGAGGAAGATGAAGATGAGGTGGAGTATGAAGTTCACGTCGTCGATAAGAAAGTGGTTGATGCCGATAATGATGGTAACAACAAACCCAAGGACCACGCCGCATTCCGGAGCCGCCGACCTGGCTCCCGGAATCCCCTCGAGGTCGCTAAAGAGATTCAGGATCTCTTTCAGAGGGCTTCTGATTCCGGTGCCCTAATCGCTAAGATCCTCGAGGTGGGCAAGCTTCCCCACAATCGAAAGCACGCCGCCTATCAAGGTGAGTCAGGATAACTTTTGCTCTGCTCATTTCTCTCTGTTTTCTCACATCATTCACGTTTCGCAACTCTTATTATTTCAGCTTCTTCCAAGATGTTACAAGTTGTTTCTCCCTCGCTGTCTCTTATTTCCTCCCAACCATCTACTTCTAAAGATGCCGAATCCGCCTCTAACATGGATGTTGATGCTGATCTAATAACTGGAGCACGCAATCTTTCCTCGACACTGCATAAGCTCCTACTTTGGGAGAAGAAACTCTATAATGAAGTTAAGGTATGTCAGTCTTCAGTGTTGTATCGTAACTCATCAATCTCGTTGCCTTGGTTTTAGTTTCACTTCTGAACCATCTAGTTCTTTGCCCGTTTTGAAAATTTTCAATGTTAAGGCGGTTTGCATTTGCTTCGCTTTTTGTGTTTCCTAGTATAATCCGTGCTATTAGTTTGAGAAAAATCAACTGAGGACTAATCCCATAGGTGAAACAATATTAACCAGTGTTTACGAGTTTCCACAAAGCTTTTCCAATGTTCGTTTGTTTGCAGGCTGAGGAAAAGATGCGGGTAATCCATGATAGGAAGCTTCGCAAGCTGAAGCGTATGGATGATAGGGGAGCTGATTTTCATAAAGTTGGTGCGACTCGGACTTTGATTAGGAGTCTGTCCACAAAAATAAGAATGGCAATTCAGGTTGTGGATAAGATTTCTATGACAATAAATAAGATAAGAGATGAAGAACTGTGGCCACAGCTGAAGGAATTGATCCAAGGGTATGTGATGTTAAATGGTTACCGTTGTTATTATTTGTTCAAGTTCTAAATGCACTCTGTTCATGATGGTGGGCTACATGGTATGCGTGGATGGCAAAACAATCTCATATCTATAATCCAATCTAATCCTTCTATCTACCCGTGTGCAGCAATCCATTGGATTATCGAGTTATTGAAAATAGACTAAGTGTTTCTTCCTGTTAGGTTTGAAAGTCAATGTCTTCTCCCTACTGCCTATCCACCACTAGGTGATCCCCCATAACAATCTTGCAAATTTCAATTATTAACCATTTTTTTTTTAAATATAGCATCTTTTTAAATGGATGGGTTGAATGGTTTTAATTAAATGGGTCATGGAAGGAATGGACTTTGTCAATACATTTCCATGGATCATAGATAGATCAATGAAGTCCGAACCTACCCCAGACCACTCTTATCAAAACCATCCAATTGACGCGTTACCTTTATTTCGCTATAAGAATTTTTTTAAAATATTTGAAAAAATTTTAGGGGTCAAATTATCTGTTCTCTGTACAAAATTTGATCTTTTATTATCTTGCAAACGGGAAGACCAGTCAGCTGGTAGTGTCATTATTCTGTAGTCAAAGTAAAACATTGCAGGCAAAGCGACCATGTCTAAAGGGGCAGGAGTCTAAAGGGGTAGGAGTTAAGGATTTGTTCTCATTGTATAGTGATTAATCGTGATTTTCCAGGCTTCTTCCGTGGCACTTTAAGCGTTTTGTATATGTTTCCAATAATTGAACTAAATATGTGCCGTAAAGCATTCACAAAGTATTTATTGAGGTTCCATTTCATCGGCATCAAACCCTCTATATTTTAACCCGTATGTAATGAATTGAAATGTTGATACATGGTTCCTCAGAATTCTTTGATAACCATGGTGAATTGAATATCCCGCGGAAACTCAACCAGCCCACCTGCAATCTGTTGATAGCCCAATTATCGGTTCATCTTCTTAGACCTTTGCTGATAATTTTTATAAATCTTGCTATTTATTCTTGTGCATACTTATAATTTGGTGGCTCATCTGACCTATTAGCTGATCATTTGTGCTTTAGCTGTCATCCAGAGGAATAATCCCTTTGCAAGGAAATGATGCAACCCCCCCAATAGCTTTTATGAAAGATTTACTCCACAATCTACAGTAGGAACCTGTAAACCTTGAAATATGCATACCCTGTCTATCCTTGTTCTAGTGGATTGAGCACTTGAATTCAGTATTAGGTGTCATTTATTGCTCCATCCACTTCTTTGTTGCACACAAGTTGTGATGTTGTGGCCCATGCCCCTTTTTTCTCTTTTGAAGTTTGTGTCTTGAATTAATGCTCTCTTTTTTTTTTCCTTTTGAAGTGGCTAACATTTTTACATGTTCTTTGCAATAAGACATGCATGCGAGACATCCATCCATGCATAGTATGTATGGGATAAACATTTTACCTTTTCTCATAGTGATGTAATTATCGTCTGAGGATTTCTAGGATGCCCGTGCTAACATGCCCTTCTTTCTCTTTTCAAGTTTGTGTCTTGAATTAATGCTTACTTTTTTTCTTTTGAAGTAGCTAACATTTTTACAAGCTTTGCAATAAGACATGCATACGAGACATCCATTCATGAATAGTATGTACGTGATAAGCATTTTGTCTTTTCTCATGATGATGTAATTATCGTCTGAGGATTTCTAGGATGCCTGTGCTAACATTTCGTGTTTGTATGGTGCAATATGACACTCTTATTTTCAGGTTGACCAGAATGTGGAAATCCATGCTTGAATGCCATCATAATCAGTGTGAAGCTATTAGAGAAGCCAGAATACTGGGTTCCGTTGGATCCAGGATAAAGAGTGGTGGTGATAGTCATCTTCAAGCGACGAAGCAACTTGAACAAGAGCTCATCAATTGGACTTTCCAATTTTCTGGCTGGATAAGTGCCCAGAAGGGTTATGTTAGAGCATTGAATAATTGGCTGCTGAAATGTCTCCTGTACGAACCAGAAGAAACACCTGATGGCATAGTCCCCTTTTCCCCTGGTAGGATTGGGGCTCCGCAAATATTTGTAATATGCAATCAGTGGTCCCAAGCTTTGGATAGAATATCTGAGAAGGAAGTTGTTGATTCCATGCATGTATTTACGATGAGTGTGCTTCAGATATGGGAACAAGATAAGCTAGAAATGCATAGGCAGATGAACCAGAACAAGGATCTTGAGAGGAAGGTTAGAAACATAGATAGAGATGACCAGAAGTTGCAGAAGCAAATTCAAGCGTTAGAGCGAAAGGTGCTTCTGCTATCTGGGGAAGGTAAAGGTCTCTCAGTTTCTGAGAACATCATTTATCAGAGTGACAAAAGCAGTAGTCTACAGGCTAGTTTGCAGCGCATTTTTGAGGCCATGGAGAGATTTACCGACGAATCTGTGAGAGCTTATGAGGAATTACTACAACGGAGTGAAGAAGAAAGTGCAGCCCGAAACCGCGAATAGTTGGAATCATATCTTTTTGCCATTTGCCAAGAATAGAGACATGCTGGTCTCCTTCTACTAACTCTTCTTTACACAGAGCCTTGGGAAGAGGGATTGGGCTTGACTTCTCACTATGATGCTGAGAGCTGCTTTGGTGCTTTAATGCTGGGATACAACAGAAAGTGAAATTTGAGGTGCGTGGCGCAGAGTTGCGTTTTTTTGGTACTCGGTGCTGTAAGTCTACGGGTGAAGTTAGCCATACAAGTTTGAGCTACCAAAAATCAGGGGAGCCCACAGATTTTAACGTCTAAAATTGAATAGTCTTTCTTTCTACATTAGAAAATAGCACAAGTATATATGGTTAGATGAAGGAGGGACTTTCAGGTATATAATATAACAACCCCTGCAAGTCATATGAATGATATAGAAAGGTGCTCAAAGTGAACAAGCTGTGCAATAGGGGAATTTTTACTCATACGCAATTGGAACAAAAGCCTCGTTCGCGTGATGAACTTAGCTACCTCTCTGTCAGATGGAGTGACGCATGTCACTGAATGCATATGGGTGTTTATTGGTTCCTGTATAAAATTATGTTCATTTCGTAAAACTATTCATATTCAAGTTAAATTATTGTACAGATTACCTATTAGCAGGCTTAATAAAAAGCATTTTAGAATAAAATATCTTTGTAGACCATTTGAGATTTATGTTCTTCAACTGAAATAAATTGCTGAGATTTGTTCAAACTTGAAACAAAGAAAAGAAAAAACGTTATGCAATTGACATCAGTGTTCATGGTGCTCTTCCGTGGCCAAATTTGTTTCCTATGGGATTAGGCAACGGAGAGAGAATAGTCAGTCGAAGAAAACTAATTCATCACGGTTCATTTAAAAACTGGGTCCAGTTCAATTAATTTATTAACTAAACTCACCATTTGTTGAATTTGTTACTTCTACGTCTATATAATTTTTACATTTTATATCCGTACAGCTGAATATATTACTTTAGAGTTTCTCTAACAAATAAAATTTAATTGATATTAATTGTATACAAAATAAATAAAAAATAAATTGTATCGAAAAAAAAAAACTGAAGTTTAAGTATGAATAATTTATTTTAAAATGTTTCCATTTCTTTTATCGAAAAACACTATACTCTTTTGTTTTGTTAGATGATATAATCATATTCAAGAAAGTGTACCATTGTTTTTGGATTTGGATTTCAAAAAGAGCTACAAACAAAAATAAATATAAGAAGAACGTGAAATATGACAAATATTGAGATGCTACACTTTAATATATTGATAAGTTAATAAAGATTTGTCAAAAAAGATTTTTATTATTGATATGAGCCAAAGTTGGAGACACCACAATTTAATAGATTGATAAATTAAAAAGATTTATCATAGAAAATTCAATATTTGATAAAAACTAAGTTTTAATCCAAAAACAAAAAAAATATCTCTTATTAAAACTAAATTTCACATGTATTCAGTGTTCTTATATATAGACAAAAATATATAAGTCACTTACGAAACTATAAAAGAAAGGCCAAAAGCATTCAAAAATAACTTGAAAAATTCAAAAACAGATTTCGATTCCTCTTCCAACGAATCATCTAGTTCAGCAACAACAATTAAAAACAATTTTAAAATTTTTAAAAAAATTATAAATACTTTTAATTGTTTACATTTATATGTTTCTTTTTAAAGGAAGAAATATGAGTTATAATAATAACTATTGTTACATCTATGTGTTTTTTTAAATATTTATAAATTGATGTTAAAATTATTTAGAAATTCAAATCCACTCATGTTAATTATGATATATCACATTGATTTCACATAATTTAAACATGTAGCTAGATTTTTTTCACACGAAAATAGCATTCATTGCCATAAAATATCTTGAATCTTAAAAAGGGAAAGAATGGATGATTGCATTTCATTTTTTTCTCCCTAAAAAAAATAAACATTTCCTGAAACATGCTAGATTCATTCTTTAATAAATAAAGTCAATCTACTTTTCTTGTCTTTAATAATTTTGATCGTTTTCGTGTTTTTTTTGTAGTTAAAATTATCCACATATTAAATGTAGTTTTTATTAGCTTCTTATTATGATTCTTTGCGTTGGAAGTCTTTTTAGTTATAGAAATTAAGGATAATTTTATTCTTTTTTAGATTATGAAATTGATATATAAAGCATTTTTCTCAAATAGATCATAAACATTGAGCAGTGACTTTGCATTGATGAGGAAGATTTTTTTATTTAAAATTATGTTATTTATTCTTTTAGTAGGTTCCACAGTTGTTTTCTCACTTCTCTCACTATTTTCTTTTTATTTTTGAAGATTTTTTTTATATGTGAAGCTTGACATTTCAATTTTATCTTTTCCCTACAATATAGTAAAACTTTATTCTCATTAACATTTTTCGCACCTTTTTTATTCCAAAATAAATCTAAAGAAACAGACCATTAATGAACATTGCATTTTGTACACCCATAATGAGAAGGTGCAGAGGTGTTTTCAAGAGATAGGACTGTGACTACTGCAATGTACGTGCCACCCTACAGAACTGAATTATTTTGACATGATGTTTTTGTTTTTACCTTTTACAGCGATTATCCACACACTGTAATAATATTTTGTCTCTAAAATTTGTATTATTTAATTGCATTATTTACCCTTTAGCAGCTAACATTCCGTTTTTTTCATTACAGAATGGGGGTGTTTATTGCTTACGCGAAAGATTATTACTTTTTTTTGTCCTTTATGAACTTTTTAAACAAAATTGAACTGTCTTTCGGCAAAAAGGTAGCATAGCAGATCACAGTTATCCCAAAATGACATTGCTTATTATTGAATTTGGAGGGGTTGCTATAATCATGTCTACAATAATTTATAGTATGAAGTTAAATTTTTTGTAAGTAATATATATTTTACAGCTCTATCTTTGTTTTTTTATTATTATAAAGATGTAATTGTGACTAATTTTTACTGCTGCACTCCAAGTGAAACGTACAAAAGCTGAGGTGAAGTGTACGAAAATTAGTGAAGGAGTCCTAGGATGTTATGCTTTTACCCATGAAGTAGTAGTACCAAGGAGTTTGAAGTGAGTTTAGGATAGTTTTTTGTGGTGGTGGAATTAAAGACAACTTTTGTGGAAAACAAATATCTATTTGAAGATGTTTTTTTTTTTTTGTTAACGTTGGAGAAGAGTGTGGAAGTAAGGCCAACCCCATAAAAGAAATGAAGAAAAGGAAAAAGCTTGACTTGGTTAGAACATGAATCTCGGTTTTTGTAGTGAAAGGGCAGCACGTGATCCATGGTTTGCCAGAATAATGGAGAATGGAATTTGCGAAGAAGCTTCTATAGGTTGACTACCTTCTAACTCCTATTATGACGGTGAGATTAGAGGACTCTTGATCGAGCAATGAGAAAGTATAGATAAAGTTTGGAAATGTAAAAGAAAAAAAGAAGTAATTATTGTAAGAAAGAAAAATTTAGGGAGGATTAGTGGGAAGGTGTTATTGGTGGAGCTAAGAAGTTTTAGGTTTGAAGGAGGATAATTAAAAGCGTGTTTATAAAAAGAAGATAAATAAATGAAGCTAAAAGCATTGATTAGGTTGGTGCGAGGAAGCAGTGGTTAAAGAGAGAAAGAAAGGTGAAAATGTTTGAGATAGAATAGAATAATAATAATAATAATAATAAGGAGTGAAGGAAGGAGGATGCAGTGGTGGATTGAGTTGTAATTAGTAAACAGTGATTAGTAATTAAGCAACAGTGACGGAAGGGATGCGAATGAAAGGTTGGATAGAATAGAATACAAACAGAGAAGAAGAACGGAAAGGGCAAATCAGGCGAACAGGCGAACGCAGATCTGATGATCGGTGATAATTGCTGAAGATAGAAAGAGAGCGCGAAGATGGGTTGCTGCCAATCGTCGATACTGAGAGTGGGTGAGAGGGAGACTCACCCGGAGAGGGAAAAGGAAAAGGAAAAGGAAAAGGAGAAGGAGAAGGAGAAAGAGCAGGCGTACGGAACACACCAGAGGACTTCTGCCGGAGATGGAGAGGGAGATGGAGACAAAGAGGGGGTTGATTTCTCCTTTGCCGAGTTCTCGCTGCCGGAGCTCAAGGCGGCCACCAACAATTTCAGCTCAGAGTATATCGTCTCGGAGAGTGGTGACAAGGCGCCTAACCTCGTCTACAAGGGTCGTCTCCAGAACCAGAGCCGTTGGATTGCAGTCAAGAAGTTCAGCAAGGCTGCCTGGCCGGATCCCAAGCAATTCGTTGAAGAGGCTTCCGGCGTTGGCAAGTTGCGCCACCCAAGGCTCGCTAATTTAATCGGTTACTGTTGCGACGGCGATGAGAGGCTCCTCGTTGCGGAGTACATGCCCAATGACACTCTCGCCAAGCATCTCTTCCACTGTATCATCTTCTTCTTCTTCTTCTTCTTTCGTTTTTTCTATTCCTTTTTAACTTGTCTCTTGTGTCTTACTTCCTTCTTCCTTCCTTCAGGGGAAACTCAGACCATTGAGTGGGCCATGCGCTTGCGGGTTGCTCTGTACATCGCTCAGGCTTTGCATTATTGCAGTTCGGAGGGGCGCCCTCTGTACCATGACTTGAATGCTTACCGTGTTCTCTTCGACCAGGAAGGTGATCCTCGTCTCTCTTGTTTCGGTTTTATGAAGAACAGCAGGGATGGCAAGAGTTATAGCACCAATCTTGCTTATACACCTCCTGAATATTTAAGAAACGGTAACTAACCGCCTTCTTGCTATTTATTTACTTTTATAACTCTCACCAATTACTACGTTTCTCTCTATTCAAATAATTCCTTTTCTGTTCTATTATTACAGGAAGGGTCACCCCTGAAAGTGTAATTTACAGCTTTGGAACTGTCCTTCTAGACCTCCTCAGTGGCAAACACATTCCTCCCAGTCATGTAACTGCCTTCTATCCTTTTACCTTTCTCTTCGCCTTACTACTTTGCACATTTTTTTTAACTCTGTATCAAACTCTCACCTTCTGCATAAATAATGTCAACTGCTAGTTCTCTTGGGAGTATTTCTTACCCTATCAAAATAGCTTGGCAAGCAGGATTAACTGTAACCAATTCATGGCTCTATATATAGACATTGTTGAAATGTAGTATATCTTGCATTTGCCTGCTTAACTACCAAATATAGGATGGACAATAATTAAAAACTATAAATGAAACCTCCCTTCCCTGAATCAACTTACCCTTTTCACGACCCGTTGATGTATTAGTT